CTCTTATACAAACAATTTTCCTAACATAAAATATGTCAATTAAAATAATTTTATACATAAGTGTGACTTATAATCACTTAATATTTCTCTCTTTTTGATATTTGTGTTGACCTAATAATGTAATCACTACTAAACTATTACTCTTCTCATGAAACCTCATGTCACGGAGGTGACCTTAGGTTCTTGAAGGCTTTGAATGGATTGCAGCCTCATGTAAGTCCTATACAATAATGGAGAAAGTCTTAGAGTATAAGCCCCAGTATTTTGTCATGTAAGGATAATCTTAGTTTTTTTTTTAAAAGTAGGTTCATCACCAGAAGTTTACACACTAGGTGATAATTTTTTTTTCATCATAGCAGTTTTTAGCTACCATTCTTCTCATCAAGAGTGAAAAATGGCTCTAAACAAATTCTAAAGCAGTAGAACCCACAAGAAGACAGAGTGAAACAAATTTCCAGCCCAAGACAACCTGGATGGTTGAACAGAAAGATATATCACACCGGGCCGGGAGAGGAACGCAGTTTGGTGTGGGCGCATAGGCAAAACAGGCCTCAGTGAACCTGGAGCAGTCCTCAGAGGACTGAAACATGGGAAGTTGTGACAGTTTCCAGACATCTCAACCCACACATGCCAACGAGAACTTAGAAGGTCAGTAGGAAAAGTCTGTGACTGCAGTGAGAGAGAGAAGCTCAGTTCCAGCTCTAGTCCCCAGTCATGGCCCCGGGACGGCAGCTGCCTCCAGAGCTTCTGGCCCACAGACTGAGGGGGAATTGAGTGGCTGATGAGATTGGGGTTGCAGGGTTCTCTTGCTTTGCCCGTGCTTGGATCTGGGTCACAGTTCTGGGTGGCGGTCCTGGGGTGAGGAGGAGTGCTGGTGTGGTGTAGCTTATAGTGATGGTGGAGAAGAAATGTTCCTCACAGTTCCAATGCAGAAAAGAGTGCTTGTGGTCACTCATAGTGGTCACTCATAGACCACAACACAGACTAGGAAAGGAATAAATACCTCTCCTTTGATCATATCACCTTGGAAGAACTGAAAATTTACAGGTCCCTAGAAGTATCTCTGAAAACAGCTGAACAAAACCCCTGAAGCTTGGGATGGTACATTCTCCACACTAGAAGCAGACTCCTACCTTAACAAAGAGTTTAAAACTCAAGTAATTGGCTGGGATCATGAGCAAATTCGCAAAAAAAGTCAGACCATAGAATCTTTCTTTGGTGACAAAGAAGATCAAAACATACAACTAGAAGAAGACAACAAAGTCAAAGCTACTACATCCAGAGTCTCCAACAAAAATATGAATTGGTCCCAGGCCGTGGAAGAGCTCAAAAAGGATTTTGAGAAACAAGTAAGAGGAGTGGAGGAAAAACTGAGAGTGGTGCAAGAAAATCATGAAAAACAAGTCAACAGCTTGCTAAAGGAGACCCAAAAAATACTGAAGAAAGTAACACCTTAAAAAATAGCCTAACCCAAATGGCAAAAGAGGTCCAAAAAGCCAATGAGGAGAAGAATGCCTTAAAAAGCTGAATTAGCCAAATGGAAAAGGAAGTCCAAAAGCTTACTGAAGAAAATACTTCCTTAAGAATTAGACTTTATGAGAAATCAAGACAGTGTAAAACAAAACCAAAAGAATGAAAAAATAGGAAAAAAATATGGAATATCTCATTGGAAAACAACTGACCTGGAAAATAGATCCCGGAGAGAGAATTTAAAAATTATTAGACTATCTGAAAGCCATGATCAAAAAAAGAGCCTAGACATCATCTTTCAAGAAATTATCCAGGAAAACTGCTCCAATATTTTAGGACCAGGGGACAAAATAGAAATTGAAAGAATCCACTGATCACCTCCTGAAAGAGATCCCCAAAGGTAAAGTCCTAGGAATATTGTAGCCAAATTCCAGAGTTCACAGGTCAAGGAGAAAATATTGCAAGCAGCCAGAAAGAAGCAATTCAAGTATTGTGGAAACACAATCAGGATGACACAAGATTTAACAGCTTCTACATTAAGGGACCAGAGGACTTGGAATATAATATTCTGGGGGTCAAAGGAGATAGGATTACAACCAAGAATCCCTTACCCAGCAAAACTGAGTATAATCCTTCGGGGGGGAAATGGATGATTAGTGAAATAGAGGACTTTCAAGCATTCTTGCTGAAAAGACCAAAGCTAAATAGAAAATTTGACTTTCAAATACAAGACTCAAGAGAGACATGAAGGAGTAAACAGGAAAGAGAAATCATAAGGGACTTATTGAGATTGAATTGTTTAATTCTTGCATGGAAAGATGATATTTGTAACTCATGAGACCTTTGTCAGTATTAGAGGAGTCGGAGGGAAAAAAATTATATGTATGTAATAGATAGAGGGCACAGGGTGAGTTGAAGATGAAGGGGGGACATTTGGAGAATAAAATTAAGGGGTGAGAGGATTATACTGGGTGAAGGAGAAAGGGAGAGGTAGAATGGGGTAAATTATTTCACATAAAACAGACAAGAAAAGGCTCTTACAATGGAGGGGAAGTGGGGGAAGGTGAGAGGGAATGAGTGAATCTTATTCTCATCAGATTTGGCTTAAGGAGGGAATAACATACACCCTCAATTGGGTATGGAAACCTATCTTACCCTACAGGAAAATAGGGGGGGAAGGGGACAAGAAAGCAGGGGGATGATAGAGGGGAGGGCAGATTGGGGGAGGGGAGTAATCAGAAGCATACACTTCTGAGGAGGGACAGGGTCAAAAGAGAGAATAGAATAAATGGGGGGGTGGGATAGGATTAAGGGAAATATACTTAGTTTTTCACAATATGACTACTATGGAAGTGTTTTGCGTGACTACACATGTATAACCTGTATCGAGTTGCTTGCCTTCTCATTGAGGGTGGGTGGGGAGGGAGATAGGGGGAAAATTCGGAAGAAATGTTTTTAAAAAATTGTTTTCACATGTAACTGGGAAATGAAATATATAGGAAATGAGGTATAGAAATCTATCCTGCCCTACAGGAAAATTGATGGGGAAGCGGGGAAGAGAAAGAAGGGAAGGCAGATTAGGGGAAGGGGTATTCAGAATGCATGCCGTCTTGGGGTGGGGGGAAGGGACAAGGTAGGGAGAAAATTTGGAACTCAAAATCTTGTGGTTGTGAATGTTGAAAACTAAAAATAAATAAATTAATAATTAAAAAAGAAATTAAAAGAAAAAAGAGAAGTAGCACTATAAATTGTGATTCAATATACTTTAAATATTAATACTATGCTTTAAGTTAACAATGGAATTTGTGTCCTGGGAAGCAACAATGCATAACATACTTATGGAATATGCCATTCCAAGTTCCAAATAATTAACTTAAAAATAAACTTTTGGAGCATAAGCAGTTTCTAAACTATGGATTACATATATAACGAACATGTTTAAACCTTGACTTGATGACATAAGTCTGTATGACCCTTTGCTTCATGGGCCTAGACTCACCTGTTTTTTGAGTTCTTATGTCTTCTTTTTATAGTTTTTTATTATTCCTCCTCTTAACTGTCAAGTACTAAGTCTTTATTAACAGTGCCTACTTTTGTCAGGTCCCTTTTCCTCTAGTTTCTTCTACTGTTCTGTGGACTGGGAAGGTAAATAACCACATGTGTTATAGTTGGGTCTGAATAAATATAAATAGGTTCTCAGTGAAGCCATGAGGGACAGATAGTCTAGTGAGTAAAGTGCATGAGCTTTATTTCTTAGACTATGCTGCTACTTACACACACACATACATACACACACACGTGTGCGCATGTCTGTGGAGAGAGAATTAGATGAAACTTGGAATAAAGAAAAAGTATGACTTACAAATTCTTATTGGAAGATGAGGATTTAAATATATAATGCAACAGAATGACTAGGATAAAAGATCAAGAAGAAAGTTATGCAATTATTTACATTGAGAGCAACATACTAAAGAAGATAATATTTGCTGTGTAAAATTTGAATGGAAGAGTGAAGAAAGATATGAGGTAAAGCTAACTATAGGAGCAAAGAATGGAATCCAGTATAGTTCATATTATGGGAAAATAAAGACTCAAAATCAGTTTGGTAATGGGAACGGAGGAGGAAGAACAGAAAATTAAAATTTCTTTCAACGTTATTGCTTTATAGGTATCTTATTCCCATTGAATAAAAATATTACTGGTTACATTAATAACCAGATATTTATTAACGTTCATGTTTCCAAAACCAGTAGAGTTTATTCTCGTCTTTTTTCCGACATCTCCAGGTCATTTATCAGTGTCTTGTTTCCTGGTATTTTTCATGTCTCATTTTAGTTCTATGATTTTTTTTTTTAGAAGATCCCAAATTGTGATCCTAAGACCACAAGTAGTCTGCGAACATCCTTTTTGATGATAAAGTAGTGTTTTTATTTCTAACATGAGCTGATTAATGTTTTTAATAAAACTGTAGTCTCAATTGGTATTTCATCAAAAGGAACACCATTTATCTGATTCACTTGGGTGAGATATTTTGAGTGTTTGGGCTTATTTATGGAATCTTTTGCCCTACCAAAGTTATCCACAGCTTGAAAATTTTTGAGAATCACAGTACTACATAATTAGTAAAGTAAAACTAACCACAAATTGATCCAGGTCCTCTTGTCTCACACATAATTATTCACTTTCCCCCAGATTCTTCTATTTTATTCAAACACACTCATGTAGTTTTTAATTCATATACCATATAAATATTTCTTTCAAATAACAACATTGGTCCCTTTAAAGTATGTTGTTACTTGGGCTCATTCCTATGATTAGACTTTAGAAAAATCTGATTTCTTGTTTTTTGCGAAATATCCTTTAAGATTATCTGTCACTGATTTAATTACAACTTATTACTTGGAATTTGTGTTATCTCCAACTAGATAATAAAGGAACATAATACAAGTCTAGTATTGTATAAGTTAAAATTATTGTTGCTTTGTTTTCTTTTCATCAGTTAAACTTATTTTTTTTCCTTTTTGTTTCAGATAGTAGTTCAGGCGCTTCAGTGTTCCCATTACTCAATTCTCTGGCAGTTGGTGAAAATTACTGATGGCTCTCCTTCTAAAGTAAGTAAGAGTTTTTCTAAACAGTTGTTTATTCATGAACTAAATCTTGCTTTATCCTGTCAAAGTGTGAAGTGTGTTTAACGAATTGCCCACAAAATGAAGTTAAAATCCATGCATTAACAGAGAATAGTGCAATAATAAATTTACAGTACAGGTTAGGCTTTAAAGTCCTAAAAGAAAAAAGATAAAACTACTTTAAAAATAACTATTTCATATGACTAAAATATATTCTCATGAGAAATCTTCATTTAATCTAATGGAAGTTTTATGTGGCATTTGTTTTCATCATGATTTTCATATCTCTTGATAGTCGTTGCTTCTTTAATTTTGATTGTTAATCACCATGATCTAAAGTAAATCCAGGATAAGTATTTCACCACTTTTTTTTTAAGATTATGAATATGTCAGTAGTAAATTCTATTAATATAAATTAAATTGATCAAGTTTTTCTACATTTGTTTTTCAAAGCCAAAATGTGATCATCTAGGCTGTTTCTGTCAATCCTTAAAATAAAAAAATTTTAATTAAATTTTATTTTTTCCTATCAATGAAAATCTTCCTTCTCTTCCTCCAGCTTCTCCCCCACCCCCATTGAGAAAGAAATTATGTAATAGTCTTTCCGCTTGTTCCTTGACATTTCCTCTTACCCTAGAGAATGATTTTGTTGTTTTATTAACCCTACTGAAAACTGAATGGATTTCTACAGCTTGTAGCTACTGTTAATTTCCTTTGTAAAGACAATACATTACATCGTCTTAGTCATTATAGAACTCATTATTGAACTTCAAGTCTTTCCATTTGGTGCCAACCTTATTATTTGAGTTATATTCCATTCCATGCTATGTGATTGTTCTTAGTATAAATTATAGCATTGTACTGATGACTTGATGTATTGCCAGTTTTTCCTCTATTTAGTGACTTTTCATTTTTAGATTATTTTCTTATATTGTGACCAATAACTTCAAGTTGTATTTGATAATCTTAAACAATTTGAAAACCTCAGAACACATAATTTTATATATATGTCTTTGTAATTATTTTGATATGTATTTTTATAGGCATAGTCTCTTTGATTAATTGTAAAGAATAATCCCATTACTAGAGAACACATAATGAAATATATCTCCCTCTCAGCGGAGAGATGAGAAGACATTGGGTATAAAATGCTGAATATATTGTCAGGTTGCCTTGTATTTTGGTTTTGTTTTACTTTCTTTGAGGGCATGGTATATTAGGAAATGACTACTAACTACATTCATTTTGATTATGCAATTCCACTACTGGGCATATATCTAGAAAGAAAGGCCTCACATGCTAACATTTTTTATAATGGCCCTTTTTATGCTAGCAAAAAAACAGGAAATCAAATGGATGTTCATTAAATGGAGAATGGCTGAACAAATTATGTTTATGAATTTAGTAGATACTGTAAGAAATATCATAAGAAATGATTAATGATGAATTAAGAAACCTAGGAAAGAGTTGTGTGACTTTATGCAGATTTTAGCAGGTAGAACCTTGAGGACAAATATAAATGATGACAACAGTAACATAAGAAAAAAATTCTAGCAGGTTACTCTACCCAGTAGTGGAATTACATGATCAAAGTGAAGGTCATTCAGTGACTTTTCTTGCTCTTTAAATGCTGTTCATCTTAAAGAAGTATTTGCATTGTATTCATTGCATCATGATCAATTACCACGAAATTCACTATCTGCAGTGAGTGTTCCAAACCTTCTTTCTTTAAAAACAAAACAAAACAAACAAATCTTCTTTCTTAATGTCAGCCTCCTATAGCACCCTCTCTACCTACTCTCTCAACTGAGAATGTTGCCTCCTCCTTCAATTTTTAAAATTGAGGCCATTTGCCAAGAATTTTCTTCTCTCCTCACTTTGCATCATTCAGACATTTTCCTCTATTTTTCATCCTTTGTTCTTCTCTCTGATGAAGAGTGAGCCCTTTTCCTTACCAAGACCAACCCCTTTACATGTACCCTAATCACACCCTACCCTGTGTTTTCCAGCAAAGTGCCCCTAATTTCATCTTATGTTATTCTCTATCTTCATTCTCTCCTTACATACAAACATGTCCATGTCTTCACAAAAATCCTCACTTGATCCTCCCATCGCTGTTAGCTCTTGTCCTATATTTCTCCTACCGATTGTGACTAAATGCCTTGAGAAGGCTGTCTAAAATCACCTCCACTTCCTCACCCCTCCCTCTCTTCTTAATTCTCTGCGATCTGGCTTCTGACAGCCTCATCATTACACTGAAACTTCTCTCTCCACAGTTACCAGTGATCTCTTAAATACCAAATCTAGTGGCCTTTTCTTCATCCTTCTTGACTTCTCTGGTGCATTTGACACTGTTAATAAACACTTTCTCTTCCTGAATACTCTCTTCCCTCTAGGTTTTTGTGATACTGCTCACTCCTGGTTCTTCTACCTGTCTAATCACTCCTTCTCAGTCTTCTTTGCTGGTTCTTCATCTAAGTCACACTCGCTTATCATGGGTGACCCCCAAGGCTCTGTTCTGCACCTCTCTGTCAGGAGGTGGGTAGCATGTTTCATCATTAGTTCTCTGGAATCATGGTTCTCATGGAATTAGAAAGAAAATATTAGGAATAATTGCTATTATTATTAAAAGAAGCAACATATTTTCTGTTATAGACAAGAGAAACTGAAGGCTGCCCTTATAGGGTCAGCACCCCCATTATGGATCTGGGACCTCCTCTCACCCTTGGGTACAGCCTCTCCCTGGGCACTGGAATGCTCAGTGTGGCTGCTTCTGTCCAGACCAGTCTCCAAAATCCACAGATCTCTCTGTCTATCTTCCTAGAAAAATTATTCATTGTGATGTTTTCATGGATTTCCCCATCAGGGGTCTGGTATATCTTCTAGATCTTTTGGGGTAAGTTTTTGGCTGGCAGCTATACTGCTTCCTACTATGGCACTATGTTGGCTCCCTCAAGTAATAGTTTTGCTAATTATTTTTGTTATATTGATTATGTTCATGGAGGGGGAGAAAGTTTTTTTTTTTTTTAATATCACATAATATAAAAATTGGCTATTTTTAACTTTTATGATCACCTCTAACTCTGATTTAGCAATAATTTTCCCCAAACAATGGATTGAAAGTTAAAATTTAAATCACTAACACTAAAAAGTGCTTTTATATACTAAAGATAGCTCTATTTCAAGACATGGAATGAAGTCAAAAGCACAGTTGGTCTATGTGACACAGACAAGATTAGATATTTCTTTTGAGGTTAAATTCAGCAGGTAGTACAAATAAATATTGTTTCTTATCCCATAATTGCCAGAAAGTTAAAATGTGTTTTTTTCCTCACAGGTCATATTCAGTTTATTTTGCTCCAGTGCCCCCTAGTGCCAGTCCTATAAGGGCAGCCTTCAGTTTCTCTTGTTTATAACAGAAAATATTCTTCTTCCTTTAATTATAATAGCATTTATCCCATCAGTTCCTTTCTGATTTGTGAAAAGAGAATTTAAAAGCCAGATGAACACGGGCCAAGTTTAGAGTAATATTTGCTTCATTGAGGCCAATCCCCTGGGAATGTTAATAATCCTCCTGAACTTATTCTTCTGTGATTAATAAGCAAGTTATACCCCAACCCCATCCAAGTGATCCTGAATACCAGCTGTCATTTTTCAGACCTATTCTCCATCTCCACTGCCCTTAACTCAACCCTCTCACTCTCAGTCAGTGTTGAAGTGTAAGGCTACCCACCTTTCCACTGTACTCTCTGAAAGTCTTGTTTTATATGTAATAAACTTGATATAATCTTAAATCTTTTCTTTTCCCACTCCTTCCATCTTCTGGCTCCCACTGAGACCTGCCTCTCTCCTTAAAATACAGCCTTCTGGCCACCCTTTCCAGCACTGACTGCACTTTGACTCATTCCCTCTAACTCACTGGTAAAGGCAGGAAATTGGAATATTCCTTGTTCCCCAGTACAACTCCTAAGCTTACTTACCCTCTACCACCGTCATGCAATAACTTCTGTTCCTTTTGAGGGTCACTTATTACATATCTACCTACTCTATCAAAACTCTGGTAGCTTTTGTCTACCGACCTCCAAAATACTCCACTTTCCTCAGTGAGTTCAGTACCTAGCTCACAACATTTCTTCCCTCACCAACTCCTTCCCCTGTACTAGGGGACTTCAACATATATATATTAATCCCTCAAAAACACCTTTATCTCCCTTTCTATCCCACTTCAACATCACACAGAGATGATCATACCCTTGATCTTGTTCTCACTCACAAATGTTCCACTTCAATGTTCATGAGCTCTGAAATTCCCATATTTTATCACAATCTGTTGTCATTCCACTTCTTCCTCTGCCTCGCAATCCCAAATCCTGTTCTTTGTCATCACTGTAAGCTCCAATTCCTTGACCCCTTAGTTCTTTCCCAGGTTATTATCTATACACTGGCTACACTCCCCATGTCCTCATCTTGACCCTTTAATAAGCCTCTGCACGATTCAACTTTATACTGTCCTCTTGTCTTGATCCTTTGCCTCTTGTGCTATTGCTGATCTTGCCCTGCCAAGCCGTAGCCCTGAATTACTTGCACTATCCAGTGTCTTTTCTCCTACCCAAGTGTTGCTGAATAAAGTTAAAGAGAAAATATGCCAAATGAATCCAATACAAATTATGTGACATAATCTCCACTGGACCCTCACTGCAGCAAGACAATCTCTAATTAACTAGCTATCCGTCTTGCCACAACATGTTTTCTAAACCTTTTCATCCCTCCTCAGACTTCCTATGGCTCCCCACACCAACACTCTTTTTGTTGAGAACCTGACCTCTTATTTCACTGAAAATATGGAGACCATTTACTAAAAGCCTTCCCTTTTTCCCTCCCCTTTGTCTCATAACTTCCAAATGCTTTCTGCCACTATCTCCACCTTCACCCCTATTTCTCATGAAGAGATGGCCCATCTCCTTGGCAAAGCATACCTCTCTTCC